CACGGCTGAAGGATAGCCTAGAACTGGGAGCCCTTGCTTCCCATCCAGGGGGCTTCCTGCTCTGCCAGGTCCCTGAGGTGGGTGTCCCTCCCTGGGTGGGCCTGGTGGATTTCTTGAACAAACGCCTGCCTTTCTCCTGCATCTGGCCAAAAGGGTTGTCTAAGAGAATGCCTGCTAGCTATGTGCAAAAATAAACTCAGCTTGCAATTTGCTCTGACAGGAGGGCATGTGTTGTGTGCGGGGGGCGGGGGGGACAGGGAGTGAAGACAGGGCATCTGGTGTCCCATCGTCAGCAGGAGAGCAGAGAGTGAGGCTGTGGAGGAGAAACTGAGGGAGACTGGCACTCCATGCCAGGAAGGGCCAATGGCCCTCAGTCTTTCCTTTGCTGCCCTTGAACTTCCTCACCACTGCTGATTATCAGACATAATCACAATGACTGCCACAGCAGCAATGCCAGTGCTAGTTAATCACCGAATGCTTACTGTCTACCAGCCCTGTGCTGCCCACTGCCCATGGATGAGAGAGTCCAATTTCACAGGCGGTCACGAGGCTGCACCACTATTCCCGGCCAGGCTATTGAACAGCACCATCCTGTTAGGAAAGCAAATTCTCAGATCCCCATCTCAGACCTACAGAATTAGGGTCCACATTCCAGCAAGACCCCAGGTGATTTGGGGGCATATTAAAATTGGAAGAGCCTTGCACTACTGCACCCCAATTCCACCGATAGCTCACCATTGTAGGCACAGCTAATACTGGTAGAGACTTTCTGTGTCCCCAGGGCTTTGCACACAAAATCCCATTTGAGCTTCATGAGCTTTTGGGGGTGGGTATGATTATTACTCCACAATGGCAGATAAGAAAATTGTAGCTCAGAGAGTTCAGGTAATTAGCTCGAAAACACACAGCTTGTAAGTGACAGGGGTGGGATTTGAACCCAGTTTCTCTGAGCTCATGATCCTTCTAGCTCCTGCACCCCCTGAGGCTTTCTTCTCTTGCATCTCTTATCTTTTATAGGTGACTGTGGACATGAAGTCTGTCTCCCTTTTCCTACCCTCAGGCAGCCACTGGCCTCCTGGGAGGAGTGACTGCGTCTACTGCTAGTCCCAGTTTCGAGTCCATGGGGCTGGAGTGGGTTTTGAGTGCTTGCATTGAGAAAACTGCAGACTCCTAGTTCAGATCTCCTGCCATGCAAACCTCTAAGACTGGCTCCAAGTTTCCAGGAGACTGTGTTGCCCACTGACGTTGGAGGGCCAGTGTCTCACTCAGATGGTGCAGGGCTGGGATTGCAATGGCCACTTCACGGTCGAGGGCACCAAGCCCAGTGTGGTTTCCTGTCCACGCCTCAGGGTTGACTGTGGCAGATGAGCTCAACAGAAGGAGCACTGGCTTGGCAGTCAGGCCGTTCTGGGCTCTTCTCCTCCACCCTTACAGCCATCCTGGGTCTACAGCAGGCAGCAGGCTCCAGCCCATGGCCAATCTTGCCCTGCAACCTGTCTGTGTTTGGCCCTCAGGCTAAGAACAGTTTCCACACTTTTTCAGTGGGTGAAAAAAAAATAGAAAATATTTTGTGGTCACATGAAAAAATATGTAAAAGTCCAATTTCACTGTCCATAAAGATGCATGGGAACATAGCCACACTCATTTATTGTCCCTTGGTGTCCCAGGGAAGGACTGGTTCCAGGACCCTGCCTCCCCCCTAAAATTTGCAGCCACTCAAGTCCTTTATGTAAAATGGTGCACTGTTTACATAAAACCTATGCACACCCTTCCATATACTTTAAACCATCTCCAGGTTACTTAAAATGTCTAATACAATGCAAATGCCATGGAAATAGTTGTTACATAGTATTTAGGGTACAGGGACAAGGAAAAATGTCTGTACATGTTTCATAGAAATGCTTTTTTTCCCATACATTTTCCATCCCCAGTTGGTTGAATCCTCAGATACAGAACCTGTGGACAGGATTATGGTGGGAGGGTGTGACTACATTGTTTGTTTACGGCTATTTCATGCTCTAAGAAGAAGGCTGAGGCCAGGCGAGGTGATGCACACCTGTCACCCCAGCTACTCAGGAAGCTGAGGCAGGAGGAAGAATTCAAGGCCAGCCTGGGCAACTTAGTGAGACCTGCCTCACAAGAAAAAATAAAAGGGGCTGGGGAGAATAAAAAAAAAGGGGCTCATGGTAGAATATCCCTGGGCTTGATCCCCAGTGTAGGAAGAAAAAGAAGAAGAAGGTGAGGAAGAGGAAGTGGAAGAGGAAGAAGGAGAAGAGGAGGAGATGGTGGAAGGAGGGAAGGAGGAGGAAGAATGAGTGGTTGGAATAGTGATTCTATTACTTGCAAAGCCCAGGATATTTCCTATTTGGGTCTTGACAGAAAATGTTTGGCCACCCTTGATCTAGGGTAGTGATTCTTAAGATTTCTTTTTAAAGTACTAGGGATGGAGGCCACCGAGCTATATCCACAGCCCTTTTTATTTTAAGACAAGGTCTCTCTATGTTGCTTACGTTGGCCTCAACTTGCAATCCTCCTGCCTCAGCCTACTGAGTAGCTGGGATTATAGGTGTGTGCCACCGAGCCTCATTTTTCAGGTTTTGCTTTTTGTAGTGCTGGGGATTGAATCCAGAGCCTGTGTGCATGTAGGTGAGTGCTGTAGCCTCTGGAGTGGTGATTCTCAAACGTTTGAGGGCCTGTTAGAAACACAGGTTTCCCACTTTGGCAGATCTGAGGTGGGGCCAGAGAGCCTGTGTTTCTAACAGTTTCACAGGTGACACTGATGCAGGGACCACACTGGAGAGCATGGGCTTCTAAGCTGACCCTCAGCCCCACCCTGGAAGTTCACAGCCCACCCAGTGAGTGGGAAGGGCTGTGGGAGGGGAGTGGAGGGAAGCGCTCCCAGGTCCCACCTGACCACCCTGTGGCTTCCAGGCTGGCTTCTCCTGGTGCCTACTCCCCCCTGGTGGCAGCAAGCCCGGAGCTGGCCTGCTGTGCTCAGCCCTAACAGTGCAGGGCTTCCCAGGGAAACACATTCAAAGCCTTTGAAGTTTGCAGTCCTTGTATTTCCGGAGTCCATTTCTAGGAATTTAACCCCAGGATCGGGGACATGTGCCAGAACATCAGCACCACATTATTTGTTTGTAAGGGGATGAAACATGAGACCAGAGCCAGGCACTTGTAGTCACAGAGCTTCGAAGAAGCCTAGGCGGCATTTGAATGTGGGTCTGCTTGGCCCCAAGAGCCACCCAGCATGGCCCCTCAGAGTACTTCCTGTTTGTTGTACTGAAGCATCCTGAGTCTATCCCTACCTGGGTGACATTGGGCAAGACAGTTCACTGCCCTGTGCCTCTGTGCTCCTGTCTGCGAAAGGGCAACGTGGTCATGACGGTTCCATGGGTTGGCACGAAGTACGTGGAGCCTAACACTGTGTGAGCCGTGGTCATTGTCGCTTGCTACGCCCCACCTTCCTTCTTCTTTGGCCTGCTCCTTCCTTTCCTCTTCAGAACTGGTTCAAGGCATTACAGGTCACCGGGCAGGCTTGCTGGTCAGGAGCAAGTGGGTGAAGGTGGAGAAGCTGGAATTTGGCCCTGGGGTCCAGAGGTGGCAGATGCTGAAAAGATCTGCTGCTCTGAGAGCCTGGACCTTAGACACACAGATTAAACACACTGGCTCTAAATCCTGGATCGCTGAGTGACATCCCTCCCTGTCCATAGGAGAAGCTGATGGCTCCCAAAGTGTGGTCCCCAAAGTAGCACCACAGGGAACTGTTAGGAAACGCAGATCCTAGCGAGCCATCTTGGCAATTCTGTTGCTCACTAAAGATGGGGAACTGCTGGCTTGCCTGTCCACCCCCATGGGCTCCTTGGGACAGCAAAGGAGGGAAGACTGGCCCAGGGAGCTTCATCGTGGGGTCACAGAGACTTATTGAGTGGCGTTTTGTGCATCTTGGGCTCTGAGTGGGCACAGAGATGAGCAGGGTCAGGAGCTGCGGCCTGATTAGGGAGCAGGGATGGGCGAGAATGAAAATCCAGATGCCGTCGCACATGCTCAGACCTGAGCAAGTGAGAAATGGCTTTGGAAGAGGTCAGAGGATGGAGACAAGGAGAGAGGGCTGGGGAGATGCAGCTTTGGGGAGGAGGTGTGGCCTGAATGGGGTTTGAAAGGATGTTTGGCTAGGCAGGGTGCAAGGATTTTAGGTGGGGGAAAGGTGAGAGGAAGGACACTAGGAAACATGGGCTTGTTAGAAAGCAGAAGGGCTCAGTGGAATGAGGCAGCCGGCCAGGTTCTTGGAACCCTATATCTAGTAGGCAGTGGGGAGCCACTGAAGGTTATGAGCAGAAGGGTGCATTTTTTCCTTTTTTTCCTTTTTTTGGTACCGGGAATCGAACTCAGGACCTAGCACTTGCAAGGCAGGCAGCAGAACCACTGAGCTAAATCCCTGGCCCAGTGTGCATTTATTCTAACTGGACACCTGAGCACTGGGCTGGGAAGATAATAAGAGAAAAGGTATGTGGGAAAATCAAGGAAAGGCTGCTATTCCCAGGTGCTTTGGAGCAGGGCCCCTTGATCTTTTATTGAAATAACGGGAAATGCCAAGTGCATTTTGCCTTCAAAGAGGTCTCAGGTCATCTGCCTGAGAATTCCAGCTCTGCTGTGGGATTATAGACAATCCCTCCATCCCTTGGGTCCTCAGTTTAACCCTCTGTAAACTGGGTGCAGTGCAACCTGTCTCTGAGGAGTGTGGAGATTAAGGAGAATGAGAAAAGGGTCTCACCAGAGCCTGGAGCACTGTAAGTGTCCTTGTCCCTGCCTTCCACTGTGTGGCTGTCCCAGAGCAAGATACAGACCCTCTGCCCTTCCAGTCACCTCCAATTAGATGGGATTTCTGCATCTAGAGGTCATTCATTCATTCATTCACTGTTTTGTCATTCATTCAATCAGCATTTCTGAGCACCTATGTGTGTCAGGCGCTGGGACCCAGAGTTGACTTAGACACTGTCTTTTGGCTTCCAAGAGTTTATTGACTCATTCATTGCCCACCATTCACAGAGCTCTATTCTGTGCTTTGCCAGGCAGGGGTGGTGTTAGGGGTAAAGTGGGCGTGGCCAGCAGGGGTGGTTTTGGGTGGCTGTGAACGGAGGTGACTGTGGCTCCACCTGGAGGGTCACACCTCCACATCTGGGAAGAGGAGGAAGCCTGAGAAGATGCTGTTGGCCCCCTCCATGCCCAGCAGGGAGTTCTTGTCAGTGGCCTCTAGGTAGACCATCTCCCCCTGGTCCAGCTTGAGCACCACACTGCCTGTGGTGACCTGGAAGGTGTTTTGGGTATAGTCGCAGAAGGTGACCACCTTCTGGGGCTGCTCCCGGCCCCGGACGAGGTTCACACACAGGTTCCCACGAGAGCTGGCGTGGTAGGTGAAGTAGTAGAGACCTGGCACCTGGCACGTGAACTTGCCATTGCGAGGCTCATAGTTCCTGTTCACATTGGTGATCGCGTTGTCGAAGCGGATGGCTTGCTTTTGTCTCAGGGGAGTGTTGAGGGTCTTCAAGGCAGAGAAGGCTACTTTCTGCGTGGCCTTGTAGTCTCCAGATTCACCCTTGGGACCAGGGCCTCCAGGGGGACCTGGGGTACCTTTTGGGCCAATGGGGCCCTTGGGACCAACTTTTCCTGGATTCCCAGGAATCCCTGGGTCGCCCTTCTCTCCAAACTCACCATGGTCTCCAGCTAGCCCTGGGATCCCTGGAAAAGCAGAGGCAAAAGAGATAAGGATACCAGAGGCCACTGAGGCCCAAAGAAAGAGCCTGGGCTGGGACATTGGGCAGACCCCTGCTTCTGTCTGGGTCTCTGATTCCCAACTGTAAAAAAGTGAAGGTGTCAAAGAGGGCTTCCAGGCCTCCTTCTAGCCCAGCTTTCTGAGCCTGGGACATGCTTGTGGTAATGGGATGGATGCTTGTGGGGAGGGGAGTGGTGCCCTCCTTGAGGCGCCCATACAGCTTAAGCCTAGAGCAGGCATGATGAGTTCACAGCAAGTGTACCACTTCTCACCCAATGCAGACATCCTTAATCGATTGCAGCACATGTTTTGGCTGCCTCTGGACTCCAGAACCCGCTCACTCCAGCACTCCAAGTTTGGAGCCACACCCTCTTGGTTTCTCATGAGGTAAGAGAAAACCTCTTTTCTGGTAGAGCAGCAGAGGACAGTGGCTAGGACTGTGGGCTCTGGAGACAGCAGGTGTGCATCTCACGTCACACCTGCTGTTATTAGCTGTGTTAGGTGTAGGGCTCCTCTGCCTCATCTGTAAAATGATGATATTTTGTGGGATTGAGAGGATCAAATGAGATTATATGAGGATGGGGCCAGCACAGAGGGCTGCTCCCAAACCAGATGTTAAATGAACTAATAAATGACATTTTACAGAGGGTTTTTCATGGTAAGGAGTCTCATTGGAACCCCACCTCAACCCCACAAAAGTCAGAGTCATTCCACCTATCCTGGAAGTAGAAGCAAGTGCAGGACTATGGGACCACAGTGGTGGTCTCTCTGTACCTGGACAGACTGGAAAGAGATCCATGGTCTGCTCTAAGCCTCAACTGGGCTAACTTGAGGAAGTCAGTTTTCCTGTCTCTAAATTGAGAACCAGAATTCCCTCTTGGCAGTTAATGGATTGGCAAGTGCTTTTGCAATCTCGAAAGCACGCGACTGTGACTTGGGAGGTACCAGAGGTCTTGGCCTGTGGCACTAGTGTGTCCCCACTTTACCTTTTTCTCCTTTGGTTCCTGGGGTCCCAGGTTGACCATCAGAGCCAGGTATCCCAGGGATGCCAGGGATGCCAGGGATGGCTGGGTGCCCAGTGCAGCTGCTCTGGGCCCAGGAGACATGGAGCAGAGCTAAGAGCAGCAGCAGCAGCAGCAGCTGTGCTGAGATGTCACCCCATGGGGTCTTCATTGTCACAGTTTCAGCTGCTTCCTGCAGGGGGAGATATTGGGATTAGTATCATGGGGATGCCACTCATTCATTCATTCATTTATTAATCCACCCCTTTGTCCATCCATCCATCAATCCCGTGTCCGCTGATGGTCACTTATCCACCACCTGAACTGGGTCCTGAGGATGCAGTGACGAGCAACACAGATGTGGTTCCTGCGCCCCTAGCGGGGAAATAGGATAATCAGGTCAACACACAAGTAAATAGAAATAGTTACAGACTGTGACACTAGCAGAAAAGAAAGGTGCCCTGAAGGACAGTGGCTGGGCTGGGGGTGGGAGGTAGCTAGTGCTTCCCCAAGGAAGGTCTCACCCCAAAAGACAAATGATGTCTAAGCTGAAACCCAAAGGTTCAGAAAGGGCAAGGACAGAAATGTTGCAGGAGGAGGGAAAGGTGGGAAGGCCCTGAGGTAGAAGTTGGGACATTGAGACTTAGCAGGGCATCAGGAGGGGAGACTGCATCGAGATGGAGCTGCTATGAGTGCTGGACTTTATTTTGCTGATTTTCATTCATCTGAGCCTCTCTGGGGCATATCCATGATGTGGGCCACCACTGTTATTTCTGAACCGAAGAGGACACTGAGGTCCAGGGAGGTGGAGTCACTTGCTCAGGTCCCACAATAAGGAATGGAGCCAGTGTTCCTGCCAGCCGCATTCAGGCCAGCTCTGCTGGCAGAGTTCTCAGCTTCCTTCAGGAGCTGCGGCTCTAGTGAGAGGATGGAGTGGGCCCTTCCCATGCCCCTTCTTCCCCCTAGGCTTCGGGGCTGACTTGAGCAAGCCAGCATGGCCAAAGTGCCATGGCATGAAGGGGCTGCTGTGCTTGGAGTCCAACCCTCAGCTGCTGCTGCTGCTTTTGGTGTTGTCTTCGTTGTCCTCCTCTCCTTCCTCCCCTTCTTCCCCCACCCCCTCTTCCTCCTCCTGCTCCTCTTCCTCTTCTGCCTTCTTCTTCTTCTTCTTCTTCTTCTTCAAATTCAGGCAACAGTCATATAACATTAAATTGACTGGGTAAAAACTTTTTTGGTGGCACTTAACACATTCACCATGGTGTGCAACTATTGTTTCTAACTAGTTCTCAAACATTTTTTTCATCCCAGAGTAAAGCCCTACCCTTTAGGCAGTTTCCTCCCTCCCTCCCATGCCTAGCCCCTGACAGTCACAGATCCGCTTTGTCTCTGGGGCCTAATCTAGGCTGCATGTTTCATAGAAATGGAATCCTACTGTACTTGACCTTTTGTGTCTGACTTGTTCCATTTAGTGGCCTGTTTTCCAAGTTCAACCATGCTGTAGCACGTGTCAGTACTTCTTTCCCTTTTATGACAGAATAATATTCCGTTGTATGGACAGACTGTGGGTGTTTATCCATTATTTATTGATGAACATTTGGAGAGTTTCCACCTCTCAGCTCTCATGAGTAGTGCTGCAATGACCATTCCCATACAAGGATTTGAGCTCCTCTTATTAGTTCTTTGGGGGTATATATCTTGAAGGAGAATTATCAGTCTTACATAATTCTACGTTTAACTTTTTAAACCATCTTCAGGCTATTCTCAGCAAAGGCTCTTGCATCCATGGCTTGCTGTCGGACAGCCCATTTCACCTTTGCCCAGATTCATATTTCTCCCATCTTTCTAGCCTCATGTCAGAGCCTTTTCCTGCGGGAAGCCTTCTGCTTGGCCCAGCTGTTTTCTGTTCTTAGAAAAGGAGTTTGAGTGGGCTTTGCCCACCCAGCAGGGTAACTTTGGGGATCCAGGTGGGAGCATGGATGGGAGAGGCCTGAGGCTCCGAACTGTTGTTTCGGCTCCTTGTTGCCGCCACCCCTGTACCTAGAAGTGTGCTGTGATGCTTTGCCCTTACTGCAGGTGAAGAAAGGGCTGAGACCTGACCTCTGATTCGTGCTGACTGTGCTGAGCTCCCTGGAGCAGAAACCTGCTGGCAACTGGCTCCTGGGCTCTGTCAGTCAAGTCCTAATCACTCATTGCCGAGACCCCTGCACGGGCACCAAGGACCGGCAGCTGTAAAGATGAGCAGGACGGCTTAGGCACTGTCATGCTCCAAGGAGTGGCTGTCTCAGGGCCCAACCCTGCCTATCTCTGAGTAAGCCTCAGTTCTTACTCTCTCTGGAGGTTTCATAAAATGACAATTTGGCAGCTTTAATAAGTTGGGCACTTAGCAGGGGCTAGGCTCCAGGCCAAAGGATTTAAGTACCATTATCTCATTTAATTTGATTCTCACAACAGCCCTTTGAGAAAGTACCCTTGCTTGCTCATTTACAGATGAGGAAACTGGGGATCAGAGAGGGCAAGAACCTGATGTAGGTCACACAGCTTCCATGTGGCTGGGATTCAATCCACATCCACTGGATCATAATATTCAGTGTTGAGGTAACTATTCCTGACAGTTCAGAAATGGACTTTGGGACCAGACACTCTGATGGAAGGATGATTGCATGGGTTATGTTGAGAGGTCCTGGCACACGTCAGAGCCAGGGAAGGTTGCTAGGCAGCAAAACAGTCACTGAGTGGTGAGAGGACTGTCACGTTGAAAGCAGCACTGCCAGGGTTCAAGTTGGCCTCTGCTGCTTCTTAGCCAACAGCCTAGGGAAAGTGACTTCTCTCTGGCCACAGTTTACCCTTTGTAAAATGCAGACAATGCTCATCTCACCCTCGTGGGGTTGCTGCAAGGACATATCAATTAAGGCTTACAGCAGAGCCTGGCATGTTGGAAAAGATTAAAGAATATTCACTATATTATTATCATCCCATTCATCCAAGAATTGCTGAGTTTTGCAGCAGGAAGGAAGAAGATCAGAGAGGAGGAAGGGGGTCTGGTCCCTTGGGGAGACCGACTGTCTCTGGCAGGGGTAGCCCAAGGTAGACAGCTCCTTCCAGCTGGGGGGAGGGGGGAACATGGACAGGGTCCTGACTGGACTCAGGCTTCTCGGGAAAGAAGAAAGGGTGTGGGTAGGAAGATCCCCTCTCTACCCAGGGCCACTGAGTCTCAGACCTGGGTGAGGACTGAAAACTCACCTGGTTAGACAACCTGCTCTCAGCAGCCCATGTCCCTGCCCTGTCTGTTTCCTTCCAGCCTTCCCAGTCCCCATCCACAGCTTGGAAGCTGGCCAACTTGACCTTGAACTCCCCGTGTGCTGCTCCCTGGCTGCATGACCTTAATCTCTTGGACCCTCTGTGGTGAGGCTCATTTCTGAGACCAGGGTGCCAGGAGGATTAAGTGAGACAGTACTAGAAGGAATGAGATCCCTCAGGCAGCAGCCTCCCCTGCTTCCAGCAAACACTCCTGAGCTCAGGCAGGACAGATAACTGATCCAAACTCCACCTGCAGATCAAGCGATTTTCTGAAAGAGCCAAGCTAGGCTTTCTCGGCAGACACGGAGGAAATGAGAGAAGTGGGGTGCTGGGAAAACACTGGGCTGGGTACAGGGGACCTGGGTACCCACCCTATCTCTGCCTCTGCTCTAGACTTGTCTGGTGCCAGGGACTGGACCCCGAAAAGCTCCATTCTTCCCAGAGGGGGCCTAGGGCTCAGAGAAGCCAGATGTCTTGCCAGAGACGACCAGCATGGAAGAGGTGGAAGCCAGATGCAGCCCCTGTCTCTGTGACCTGGAGGCTCTGATGCTGGAGGCACCCACTGTGGGCTAAACCTGCACCCTCTGGGCCCTGGGTAGCCCCAGACTCCCCAGCACACTCCTAGAAAGCCTGACTCCTCAGGCCCGGGACTGCAGTTAAGATTCCAGCTGGGAATCATGACCCTCCACCCCATCACACCCCCCACCCACTAACCTGGGGACCTGGTGTCCTGTGATGCCTCCGGCCTGGCAGCAGTAGGACCAGGGGACAGGAGCTGCTGCTACCCGTCTATGGCGGAAGTTCCATTACCCAGAGGCAGGAAGGGCTTCCCCTCCACCCAGGGCAGTCCCTTTCCGTGGACCCAGCAGGCAGGATCCCCTCCCTGTCACCCCATTGCCGCCCCCATCCTGCTGTCTTCAGGCAGTTTCAGGTCCCATTTCTGACCCCACGGCGGGGGTTACAGTAAAGGGGGTGGCGGGTGGCCAGCTTTTTTTCACCAACTCAGCAGCTGTGAGGGGAACAGGCTGTCCCCGGGGATGTCCAAGACTGGCCACTCGCCTGCCAGGCCCTCTGAGCTCATGACCTTCCATGGGGACAGGGTGATTCTCAGAGGGTGACACAGTGGCTAGCCTGGTTGGTACCTGAGTGCTAGATTTAGAGCCAGAGACCCTGATCCCTATTCTGGCTCTGCCACTTACCACTAAATGTTCTCATCCAAGGAGCCCAAGGGAACTCCAATTTCCTCCACTATCTGATGAGTCCATAATTGTACCTGCTCTGCAACCTCCTGGGCCAATGGGAGGATAAGGAGGAGAAAGGGTCTGTGGAATGAGCTGTAAAGCACCATGTAGACTGTAATTGTTACTGTCACTTCATGTCCCCGGCTTCCTCTTTCTGGCCTCTTCTCTTCTGCTCCTTCCTGTTCTGCATCTCTGCTCCTTTCCTGTTCTCTGAAAATCATTGAATAATGCATTCTAAATGTGCTTATTATTTATTTATGCCCCTCCCTCCACTTCCAAAAAGACATGAAGCTGGTGATGATAATGGTCACAGGCAGGGGCCTGTTGTTTGTTGATCCTAAAATGATACCATGTTAGGATGGAGAGAGGCGTGGCCTACCCCTCATTTTATGTGCAGGGAAACTGAGGCCTCCAGGGCTGAGCCATCATTTGACAAATATTCCTGGTTCGCCCCTGTGTGCAGGCGCTGGAGAGTGAGGCCTGCCCTAGCCAGCTGTGACTCCTTCCCCATGGAGCCTGCCCTCGGGGAAGACTGGTGTCAAGCATTGAATGACACAAGGCGTTTGCTCCTGTGATAAATGTCACAAAGAAGCAGTGACTTCCGAAGCACAGCCCATGTGTTTGGGGTACAGAATTGCAGCCAGGCAGCCTGGACCCCAGGACATGACTGTGTCCAAGGCCATGTGCCAGAGCTCAGGCAGCAAGTGCAGGAGCTGGAGGAGGCCTCTGTGTTGGTAGAAGGGAATCAATCGTGGGCTTGCAGGGGTCAGTGAGTGGAAACTGAGCATGAACTATAGCAGGTGACAGGAAGGAAAATATGAGGTGACATGGCCCAAAGGTCTCAGGGCTCAGCAGCTAGAGAACTGTGGGGACAGGGTCGGTAGTGGGTTCTAAACACAGTGGAGGAGTTGACAGTTGACAGATCCAGGCATCCATGGTAGAGTGCCCAAAGTCCCCTGCACCTGGACATCTAATTCCTGCTGGCTGATGGCAATGGGATAGATGCAGTGAGACTGAGAAAAGAAATCAGTAGTGCTGAGCTTGGTGGCACATATCTGTAACCTCAGCACTGGGGAGGCTGAGGCAAGAGGATCACTGTGAGCTCAAGGCCAGCCTGGGCTACATAGTGAGTTCAAGGCCAGCCTGAACTACATAGCAAGACCCTGTCTCACAAAAATAAAGAAAAGAAAAAGAAAAAGAAAAGGAATCAGTAGAGCAGGGAGTTAAGAGCTTGGGCTTTGGATTCAACCACTGCTATGTTTGAGAGAGGCTCTGCCTCAGGCCCATGTGCTGACCTCAGTTTCCTAGATCCAATTCGGAGCATGGGTACTGACCTCCTGGGGCCACTGCAGGGGCCAGTGAGGGGGCCCCACTTGGCCAGGCCCTGCTGAGTTCCCAGCCCTCCATAAGCTCCCAGTGCACACGTGCGGACAGCAGATGGGATACATGAAGCCTGGGAGTGAAGGGGCCCTGCCTCCTGGAGCAGGGGGGCTGGGTTTGGGGATCAGGAGCCCAGGGGTCTCTGAGCCTTGACCCCTGTGCAGGACCCTGCTGGCTTCTGTGCCCATGAAACTGCTGACTCGCACCCTGATAGAGAGAGGAGGACTCCAAGAGAGAGTGAAAATGAGCCCTAAAACCCTCACCTGCCCACGGCCCAGGTGTCTCTTTTGCTGCCTGCCCTGTCTGGACCCACCCCACCCACCTTCCCCGCCACGGCAGACAGGTGGTGTTTTCTGGGGCTGTCTCTCCCAACCCAGAGAAAACAAGGAAACAATTATGGAAAATAAAAATGGCACAACACTTGTTGTTTCCAAAGCATAGGTTTCTGTTCTGACACCATGGCCTACATAAATGGCGTATTGATTTTCTAAACAAAAGAGAAATGAGAAAAAAGATGTATCACTTGCAGCATTGCGTGGCGTACTGCTAAGTGGTTGACGGAGTGACAGTATGAACGCAGTGGCCGGTGACCTGGGCCTGGCCCTGCAGAGGTGCCTGGGCTCGGTGAACTAGGCCGGGTTTCCGGGCCCCTGGCCCTGTCCTCTGTGTGTGTGTGTGTGTGTGTGTGTGTGTGTGTCTCCCTTCCATTTAACACAGGTCTTGAGGTCCTACAGAGTGTTGGCCATGTAGCAAAGAGCCAGTGCTCAGCAATGCTCACAACCACGTAGGGAGGCACAAAAGCCAGTCAGTGGCCCACAGGTGCTGGACTCCCCCTTCAGCCCTCCCCTGCCCTGTCTTCCCAGATTGTTTCATTATGGCATTTGGGCCTGCAAATCTGACTTCGCTCATTTGTTTTGTTTTAAATAAGTCTATAGGTTCATTTTATTCACCACCAGACCTGGGCTGTAAAGAGTCAGGCATGTGTGGTCCAAGTCTGCAGAGGACGCTGTGGGAACCCAAGGGGACATCGAGGGAGGCTTCATGGAGGAGGTGTCTTTGTGAAGCATCTGATGGTGGAGGGGCATCAACCAGGTAGATGGAAGAGTTGTGCCCATGGGCCGGGGCTCCATAGGATGAGGGGGTGGCCTGGGGGAAGGCATGGAGGTGTGAAATAGCCTCTGCAGAGCAGAGGTGGACACAGGTGGTGGCAGAGCTCGTGTGAGCCATGGCTTTTATGGCCCCTTCTCAGCAGGACCTTGCTGAGCTCCATGGACCCCAAAGCACCAGGCTGAGAGGCGCCCCCAGCACCGCCTGAAACTGCAGGCCTGGACCAGATGCTGCCTGGGACAGTTACACACTTGACCTCTCTGGTCCTCAAGGATGGGCAGCAGGGCTCTACCTTGGTCACCTCACAGGCAAACCTTGCTGCTTGTTGGCAGCAGTGGTTGCAGATGATATCTTGGGGTCCCAGGGACTGTGAGTTATTCGGGGTGAGCCAGACATGGGGGAGGTTCTCTCTCTCACCCACTCAGATCCAACTCAGAGCCTGGTCTGAAGGTGTAAAGGAGTTAATGTGTGTGAAGCATTTGGCACAGTGCTGGTGCATAGTAGGTACTCAGTAAATGTTAAGTACTGTGAATTTTAAACTCTCTTTACCTCTGCATGTAAGCATTCATTTACCTATTTAGGCATTCATTCATTCACTCATTCAGCACCAACTCATTGCACATCTCTTTGCCTGCACTGGGCTTGCTGAGCCCAAATTCCTCGTGAGCCCAGTGCTCCAGAAATTCCACCCACCTTTGGGAATTCAAGCCCACTCCTGTCTACCTGCAAGTCTGGGCACTTTTACTACCCCCTTGGGGACCTCTGGAGTGCTGTCACCCCACCAAACACCTCTCTCCACCAGGTTAGATGCCCTGAGCGCCACCTAGACACCCTGAGTCCACAGCAACAACCACAAAGGATACGGAGCTGAACTCGCCAAGTTCAAGGCATCAGTAGTGAGGAATCTGGGCCATGCATATTCATTGAACTAATTATTTATTCATATATCTCCCCGCCTCTTCCCAGACTTGAGTCCCAGAAGGTATTGGTTAAGGGTCAAAGGGATGGTGCAGCAGTGACTCCAGAAGGAGTGCAGAGGACGGAGAGGACTTGAAGGACAGGAAGTCAGGGTGAGCTTCTCGGAGGAGGAGTCCATCAGGTGAGAAGGGCTGAGAGAGGATGAGGAAAGCTGAAGGAGGTGGGTTGGCCCTGAGCCTGCAGCCAGCTGCCCACCCTAGTCAGGGAAGAGCAGGAAGCCCGAGAAGACGCTGTCGGAGCCCACGGTGCCCACCATGCCATTGTAGTCATTGACAGCCAGCCACACCTGCTCGCCCTGCTGGAGGTGCAGTAGCACGCCTCCTGAGCTGACCTGCTTGCTATTCGGCTTGCTATTACTGGGCATGTGGTCACAGAAGGTGGTCACCCTGACATCGTTGCGGAACAGCTGTATGCACAGGTTGGCCTTCTGCGAGGTGTGGTAGACGAAGTAGTAGAGGCCAGGCACGTTGCAGGTGAACTTGCCTGTGGCCGTATCATAATCCCCCTGTGGGTTGGTGACGACTGCGTTGAACTTGACTAGGCCGTTGACTGCTGGGAAGTGCTCTGTCTGCCGAGTGACTGTGAACACGGACTGGTGCTTCTGCTTGTATCTGCCTTCCTCGCCCGGCTCCCCTGGGGGGCCCCTGAGCCCCGGGTTTCCCGGCATCCCAGGGGCTCCCATGGGCCCATTTTTCCCAGGATGGCCAGGTGTGCCAGGATCTCCCTTCTGCCCCTTGGGTCCTCGAGTCCCCGGGATGGCTGGGATTCCTGGGGAGAGAGCAGGCGGGGCGGAAGCGATGGGCAGGGGCTGGGGAGGGCCCGGGTGTCCACCAGAGTTTGGCCTCTGTGATCCCTTCCCACATGGACTGCCCACCTGTGGCGGATTCGGCTTCCAGGCCCAGCTCTGGTGACCTGACCTCTGACCTAGCTTAAGGCGCTTCCCTGCCTTGTGACTCAGTTTCCACATCTGTGACTGAGAGGGCAGGACAGCACCCAGAAGTGTCAGAGCTGGCAGGATCTAAGAGAACGTCAGCCAGGGATGGCGGAGGCTGGATTCTTCTGTTCAGCCTACACAGTGTTTTTCAATTTTTAAAGCCAAACATTAGAAATTTCAGGACTCACTCACCTGAAAGTGTAGGAGCTTGGGGTTTTTTTGTTTGTTTGGATGGTGCTGGGAATTTTCTTGACGAAAGTCAGCAGACTGGTGAGAGGCAGGACCAGAGAGAGCTCAAGCTTCAGGCCGGGTCACCTGCGTCAGCTCCTTCAAGGACTTTAGCTTGATATTTGTATTTATACTTTTTCTACATTTTATTTTAAAGCAATTCTATAATTGGGGGGGCGGGGGCAGAGGACAGAGAGGGCCATGTACCCTTCGCCTGTCTTCCCCAGTGGTGTATCTTACAGAGCTAAAGTACAATAATAGCAAAACCGGGGAACTGACGTTCACAGTCTGCAGAGCTGATTCAGGCCTGGCAAGGGGTGTGTGTGCTTGTGCGTAGGTGTGTGTGTATGTGTGTGTTTCCAACACAAGCTTGTCACGTGTAGATTTGTGTGACCATACCATCTCTGTCATCAAGTTCAGGTGTATCTATTGTTTTTGTGTTCTTTTCCTCAGAGAGGACCCTCTTGACAACCTTTGGATCCTGCACACCTTTGCGTACCCAGAGACAGTGGTCACATCCAGGAGTAGCTGTGTGAGGCTGAGCAGCAGCCACCTGCTGAGGAGCAGCTCTCTCCAGCTGCCCCAGCTCTGTTCAACCCACCTCAGCCCTGGGGCCCACTGTCCTGCCTCAACTTCCCTGAGGTTACAGATGAGGAAACTGAGGCCAGACACTGGTCCAAGGCCACCTGGCCAGGACAAGGTAGAGGCAGGATTCAGGCTGGGCTGAATCCCAGTCAGAGCATGCAATCCTGCTGTGGCCAGAGGAGCTGTACCTCTGTGACAGTCTGTTCCCCTTCCCCAGACCTCACCCATCTTTGAGGTCTGACTCCAGTCTCCTCTTCCGGGGAGCCCTCCGGGACACCCCCTCACCCCAAGGTCATTGGCCTTTTGGCTCCCATCCTCCTCTGCCTTCCATGGGGCTGGACTTCTGTGCAGAGTCCCCCAATGGCTTAGGAGTGAAGAGTGTGGGTCAGGACTCAGAAGACCTGGGTTTTGGGCTGTGTGAGCCTGAGCAGGTGACGTCCCCTCCCTGATCCCATGGTAGCGTCAGGTCCTAGCCCTGAGCAGGGCAGGAAACAATGGAGAGGAGCCCAGGTGGCGGCTGGGCAGTGGCTAAGAGTGTGGGCTCTGGAGCTGGATGGGACTCCACTGCGTGACTTGGGGCAAGTTGCTCAATCTCTTTGAAACCAGGCTTTGACATTGCAAAATGGGAGCAAAGGATTTTGGCTTCAGTTTTCTCATCTGTGAAATAGAGCTAATGATTATATCCACCCTGCAGGGTAGGCAGAGGCAGAGCATTTGGAACCCTGCCTGGAACTCAGAGCCCATCTGCCAGCCTGGGCAGTGAGATAACCAGAGACAGCTGTCAAGGACAGGGTCCTCACAGTGGCAGACCTGGGACCTCACCCCAAATTGGAAGAGACCTCTGGGCTGTTGGTAAAATTCCACTCTATTGACAGAAGGGACCCTCCAGAGGGTCTTCCTCACCACCCACCCCCCTTCCACCTGCCACTGTCCCCTGAGAGCTGTGCCAGCCCTACCCAGCCTCACCAGCCCTCACTCAAGGGTAGGGTCACCACTCCCACCTCCATTTGGACCCCAACGCCAGTGCCCTCCATCTTCAGCCCCTAGTCCTATGTGGGGGCTCACCTGGGAACCAGGTGCTCAGTACCATCACAGTCACACACGTTTCACTCTCATGGCACCCCAACATGGGTCCTACCATCTCCCCATTTCACAGATCGGGAAACAGACACTGCAAGCTTAGTGGCTTGTGGGGTTCTCACAGAGGACAGTGGTGGGGCCAGGCTGATTCTGGCCATCAGTGTGTTGGGTGCATTTATGTCATAGTGTCCATGTGGCAGGGCGCTTGGCCCAGAGGCTGGCATACAATAGTTACGGGGCACTCTAGAGTTGGCCAGAGGTGTCCCCTGTGCTGCCTCCTATGAGGGTCCCCACCACCTGCTGGGACCTAGGCTCCCAGGCTCCCTCTGTGATGGAGGAGCGAAGGGGTGCAGCCGCCCAGATCAGCCCGGGGAGGCTCTGAAGAAGTGGAGCCGGCCCCACAATGACGGTGGGCTCTGCACTTCCTGCTTCTGAGTTGCCGCCCCTGGATGGTCACTCAGACCCAGGCCACAGACTCACCTGGCTCACCCTTGGGCCCCCGCAGCCCATCGCGGCCATCCTTGCCAGGTGCCCCTGGCAGGCCTGGCATCCCTGGGATCCCGTAGCAGCCTGGGCTGGCCTGGCCCCTGAGGGGGATGGCAAGCAGCAGCAGCAGCAGGTGGGCCCCAAAGGGGAGCCCCACATCCATCCTGAGGAGGGAGCTGGGACAGAGTGCGGAGTTAGCCTCCAGCCTCTCCCCACCTCCCCACTGCCCCTGTCCCGGCCTCCTCCCAGCCCCTGGACCCCACCCCCTGCAGCCCCTCACCCTTGAACCCTAAAGGGTGGATGGTGGTCCCTGCCACAGTTCAGGGACAGGGCAGGCAGAAATTGCCCTCTTCCCACACCCGGGCAGGGTCCCGGACTCACCTGGGTGTGGGCTTCTGGCCCGGTTACAGGGATACCCTCAGCTCCTCGTCCCTTGTGCCAACAGGAGGACACCGTGTTGGAGTGGACAAAGCAAGGCTTGCCCAGAGCAGCGCCGGCCCCTCCCCCACTGCTCCCCATCTCACATCCCCTTTCCCCCATTTCCCTGACTCGACACTTCCATTTGGGTTCTCAGCCAGGCTGACCGCAGCAACACCCATCCACCCCTCCCTACTCCCACCCTGGTCATGCGTCTGAAATGAGGAAATGGCCACTGTGTGGTTCAGAGTGTGTGTGAGTGGACATAGCCCCAGGGCACAGATATCCCCAGCCTCGGCTGGGGCCCCCCTAATACCCAGGCCTGTCTATGGCACATACTGTTCCTGAGGCCCAGTTATTTCACAGCCTCCTTGGGAAGAAGTTACAATCCCCCTTTACAGGTGAGGAAACTGAGGCTTGCGGAGGTATCAGCCCTTTCTCCAAGTCCCACAGTGTGGTGCAAAGCCTTGCTGTGACCCCTGTCAAGTGGCAGGCCTTATTCTAGAAACATCTGTGTGTCCATTCCAGAACACCTGGAACTTGGGGGCCAGGGATTTAGCTCAGTGGTTCCGCCGCCTGCCTTGCAAATGCAAGGTCCCGAGTTTGATCCCTGGTACCAAAAAAAAAAAAAAGAAAGAAAAAAGACCAGAACACCTGGAGCAGTTCAGCTTGTCCTCCCAGCCTGGCCTCTCCTTATCAGGAGGCCCTTCAGCAAGCCCTCTGGCTTCCCCGCGGTGCACTGAGGGCCCAGGTGCCATACGACAATGCTGGGGTCCTTGTCCCTCTTGACAAGGGACACTGACCCATCTCCCCTACCAGCACCTGCACCTCCACCCCCATTTCTGGTCCCAGAGCTGTGGTAATGGGTTCCAGCCGGAGCCAGACTCTCCTGGCTGGGTTCTCGGGATGGAGGAGATGTTGGCAGTGAAGAGCTTCAGCCTCCTCTGCCTCCTGCTCCCTGAACTCGGAGAAGTGGTGTGACCACCCTGAGCACTCAACAGTGCCTCCTCTGTCAAGTAGGGGCCTCAAATAGGCCCTCATGGGCCACAGCAGGACTCAGGATGTGAGACATGTATGGTGCCTAGCAGGAGTCCAGGGTTCTCTCTCTCTCATCCTGGCCGAGTGACCTTGGAGCTCAGTCTCCCTGAATGCACTTGGTCCTGGGCATTCTCAGTGGATGGAGTGATGGAAAGAACAGAGATGGTGGATGGTACATTGTGGGGTGGGAGTGACCTGGCTGATGGCAGAGGGGCTCGCTCCTCTGTCCTCGGCTTTTTTGTGCCTAGGCCTGACTTGTCCAGCAGGTGGCAGCCTCAGCCCACACTCAGCCCTGCCTGCCCCGCCCACCCGGCCCAGCTTCTGCTAGGACTGGGCAAAGGAAGGTGAGAAAAGGTGGAGTTTAGGGTAAGGAGGCAGCTGGGCACTTCCTGATCCACTATCTCTATACCCAGGTCTCTCCTGCCACTTAGGACATTTTCCACCACCCTGACATTTTCCATTCCAATGAAAGGTGATGCCTCTTGGGGTCAGGCAGCCCTGCTTCACGTCTGTTTCCACCAGTGTGGCCTGGACAGTGTCTGTCTGAGCCTCGGTGTCTGTCCTGCTGGGATTCAGTGCATCCGTGGCACAGTGGGGTCCTGCTCACTGTGGGCACCACAAATCTGGCTGCACATGTTCTGGGAGGGCAGAGGGTGCTGGGGCTGAGCTACCCTCAGAAGGGAGCTAAGCGGGGAGCTGTGCATGTTTGGAGTCCATGATGAGGGCTGCCCTGGTGTCCCTGGGGATGGATGCCCCATGGGAGTGGAGCATGTGCCAATGGTGCTGGAGCGAACACAGGATCTCTAGGGCTTGTGCATGTTTGGGTGTGAGGGATGGCACCCTGGGTGTCAGGGGTGTGTCTAGCACATGGGTCTCGAGGGATGCGTGTGTACATGTGCCATTCGTGTGATATGTGTGAGAGGGGGAGAGAGAGCACATAATTCAGATGGTTCATGAATGCACCTTGGATGTCTGAGGCAGGAGGTGCATGGTACGACATCTTGTGCCTCTCTAAATGTGTGTGTATGTGTGTATGTGTGTGTGTGTGTGTGTGTGACTGGAGATATAGTGAGTGTGTATCTCCAAGGGTGTGCACAGGTGTGTGCAGAGGGGATGTCACTGGGCCCATGTTCTTGAGGGGAGTGGATGAGTGTGTGTGAGTGGTGTGGTTGTGTGTGTCCGTATGTGCAGCACAAAGATAAAAGGCACAGGACATTGGATATCTTCAGGATGGACCTCCTGGCTTCTTCATGTCCTGCACTTGAAGGACACAGCAGGGCTTGTTGCTTCTGAGTGGCTTCCAGATGGGACATGTGGGATCCCAGGGAAGCATGTGAGTATCCAGGATCCTCCAGTTCCTGGCTTGAGCCAGATGCCAGCAGGCCACTGATCCAGAAGCCCCAGCCTCTGCCTGCCCAGGGGAGGACCGCTGGATGCCCTTAGGCCAATTGCTTCCCCTCTCTGATTCCTGCCCCTACCCCACCAGCATGGGAAAAGCACCTGAGTGACTTGCCAAGCACAGCTGTGGAGGCTGGTGAGGGTACTAGTTACACCCACAGGCCTGGGGACAGTAAGGTCTTCTGGAAACACTGGCCAGGGGGTTCCTGGTGCCTCCTGGCATGGCTTCCACTTCATCACTGAAAGGAGGATCATGACACCAGCTTCGAGCTTGACAATAGCTCAGATGTCACAGCCCTGACTCTGACCCCGGGCTGTGGTTTTCATATACTCAGTCATTTATGCCCCTTGGTGACCCCATGAGTCAGGTGCCGTTATTGGGCCTCCTATGCAGATGTGGAAACTGAGATCACAGCAGGTATCCCAGATGTACAAGATTAGCCAGCTGCTAGATAGTGGCATCTAGATTTGAGCTGGGGATTTAAGGCTCTGGATATCAGCTAAACGCATCTTGTAAAATGCTAAAGTGGGGCCACCCCTTCAGCACGAGCAACGGTCCCCTCACACCTCCTGCTGGATGCCCTGAATAGCAAGTGCACCTCAAACCCAGAAGACAAACATGGGCCTTTATTTCAGGAAGGCCTGTAAGGATGTTTTCAGACCGTGCAGTGGTGGCAGGTCCCGGGTACCTAGGAGCCAGTCCCGGGCCTCAGGTGGCTAGAGCAGTAGCACCCCATTTTGTAGAGCAGAGGAGCCCGGGAAGAAGGGAGTGAGCTGGGGTCCCAGGTGAGGAGGGAGGAGGCCATGGTGGTGGTGGTGACAGTGGCAGTGAGCAACTCCCAGCTCAGGCAGACGGGAAGATGAGGAAGCCGCTGAAGATGCTGTCGGCTTCAGGACCCTGGTAGATGCGGCCCTTAGCAGGGTCCTTCTCTACCCAGACCTGGTCACCCCGCTGCAGCTGGAACACGGTGCCCCCCGACACCACCTGGAACTGCTCCTTGCTATGGATGTCGCAGAAGCCCAGGGAGCGGCGGAGCTGGCCCTGGGAGGAGGACACGATGCTCAGGCAGATGTCCCACTTGGAGACCACTTGGAAGGTGAAGTAGTAGAAGCCTGGCACGGCGCACAGGAAGTGGCCCGACTGGCTCTGGTAGGGGCCTTCCTGGTTGGTGATGACCGTGTCGAAGATGACCACATTGCTGCTGCTCACGGGGGGGTTCCGCCTAACGGCCGAGAAGGCAGGCCGTGGCTGATCCCTGATGTTTCCTGGATTGCCCTTCGAGCCCTTTGGTCCTAAGGCACCTTGTTCCCCTGGGGGACCACTGGGCCCTGGGTATCCCACTTTGCCTGGGTTCCCAGGAGGCCCAGGCTCCCCCTGGTCTCCTTTAAGGCCTCGGATGCCTGTCCGGATGCCAGAGGCTCCTGTGGGGAAAGAGGTCAGTTGGGAGGTGAATGTTCAGGGCCCACCAGACCCCAGGGAGGGGCCAGTGTTGTATGCTGGAGGGCAGAGGAATCCCTGGGACATTAAGAAGTTGGGTCTGACTGGCTGTGTGACCTCAAACATGTTCCCCAGCCTCTCTGAGCCTCTGCTGCACCTGTAACATGGAGAGCATGTGAAGAGGCACTTGGGAGAGTGTCAGGTTGTGGGACACTCAGGACACTGGCTGTGCACCCCACCGATCTCTTCTTCAGCCTTAGGGACCTCATATGGATGCCTGGGCACTAATCAGCGCAACTATCTCTGCGGACCCTTCTGGTTTGCCTGGCCTGGGAGGTTCGGGATGACCTGAGAGTCTTTGCTCTATGGCCATGAGCTCCTCCCGTTTCCATCACTGAGGCTTTTTTCTAGAATGAGACAGTTTCTGAAGCCTAAAAGGGGCAGGGAGAGGGGAGTAGGAACAGGGTTAGGGGCACAGGAAGGACCCCAAAAGGATAGTTGCAGTTCATCGATCCTTCTCGTGCCAGGTAGGGTTATATCTCCATTTTACAGGTGAAGAAACTGAGGCTCAGAGAAGGTCAGTAACTTGCTTGAGGTCGCCCAGCAAGGCAGGGGCTCCAGAGTCTAAAATCATTCTGGTAACAGAACAGTGAGCAAAGGCTGGATGTGGTTTCCAGCCTTTCACATTCACAGAGGGAGGTGACTCATTCTCCAGAGGAGGAAGGAAAATCTGAGCAGGAAGCAGATATGAAGGGGCTGGGGCTGTGGCTAGGGAGAAGCCTGGATCTCTTGGCCTGGGGGCCCAGTGCAGACTGGAAGGGCATTGGGTGGGGGCCCGCTGGGCTCAGGGGTGCCAGGAAGGTGCTTACCAGGTTCGCCCTGCTCCCCCTTGAGGCCAGGCCGCCCATGTCGCCCCGGTTTCCCTGGGACCCCATCCTTCCCGTTGGGTGCTCGACACACGTCCTGGGTCACCGTAGAGGCCAGGGTTATGGCCAGCACATAGATCACCAGCCATCCCCGGGGGGCTTTCATGATGTCCCTGCGGAGACAGGGGGAGACCTGGGCAGCCTGAATGTCACATTCCCCTTGCACACTCGCATCACACACATCTGCCCCTCCTCCAGTGTGTGAACACACAGGAGCCTTCCCCAGCCACTCACCATCCAGCACCTGGGGTGGGGGCTCCCCCCAGCCAGGATGGAAACTCACACCGAACATTCACAGCCCTGGGCACACCCAGTCACACCCTGGGCATGCACAGCAGGTGTGCACACTCCTGGACACACACACTGGTCCTCAGGGAGACTCTCTCCCCTTCTCCCTCCGCCAACACACACACACTCATACACTCCCACACAACATTGATCTCTGTGAACAAATATTTATCAAGCACCCGCTCCTTATTTAATTAACACCCTCTCACCCAGATAGCGGAGCTGTGCTCATGCACAGGAATTCAGACGCATCTGCTTGCTCCTGGGCAGCCTGGCCCCTTCTGGTCTCCACACAGGGATGGATGCTGGCTGCCCCTGAGGTCTCCTCTGCTGGGTCCCACAGCTGGGCCTTGGCTCCCCAGCCTTTTCCAGAACTCCCTCCTCCACCAGGCTCTGACCCCTTCACTCACCCATTCTGGCTCCACCACCGTGTCCCCACCCCATCTCTGTCCTGTCTCAGAACTGGCTAGCATTCCCCCTCCCCTTCTGCTTCCATGGCCGAGCCCTGGCCAGCATCTCTGTTCCCAAACCCCTCCTCCCAGGCTCTGGCCTCACCTGCCTCCGGTGTCCACTCCAACTGGACTCAGCTCCTGTCCTTTGCCCAGGGACCCGGATGGGAAGCCCAGCGGGGTGTTGCAGCTGCAGCCTGGCCAAGTTTCACATCCCTCCCCACATGTCCTTCTCCTTCTCCACTCCACCCCCGGAACAGAACTCTCCAGGGAACTTTTGAGCAGACCTCAGCAAGACTGGGACAGGGGACATCTGACAGGGCCACAGCTGTGGTGGGGGCAGGGTAGGGTGGCCAGGCGGTGGGGGGAAGTGGGTGGGGCTGTGGGATCCAGAGGCAAAAAGAACAACCGGGAGGAAGGAATCACTTTCAAAATCAGTAACACGCAGGCCTTCTTCACAGTTATGAAAGCAATGTGTGTTTGTTACCAAAAGTTTGGAAAACACAAAAATGGAAGAAGTACATGTTGGGGAGGAGAAAGAGGAACAGCAATTAGTGTCCAACTTGCCATTTCCTAGCTGCACGTCTTGGGGAAATTACTTAGGCTCTTGGGCCCTCAGCTTCCTTAACTGTAAATTGGGAACAACAGACCTTTCTGTGTTGGATTATTATACTCTTTTAATGACATACACATGCAAAACACTCGCTGAACACACGGTGAGCACTTGGTCACCTATCATCCTAAGATGACTGCTGCTAATGTTTGAATGGGTCAGCTAGCCTTACTCGCTCTCACCTTCGGGGAGCTCATTACCTATTGGCACCTGCCCTTCGGCACAGCCTGTGTGGACCCTGAGAACTTTTTTCTTTCTGCTGAGTGACTCTGTCTCCCCCAAACTGGAGACTAATGTGTGACCACATCTTTGCTTTTTCCCATGAGCTTCTTTCCCCCCAAGGATTTTTCCAGAGGGAGGAGAAGAAGGAGAGAGGTGAGAAGAGAGGGTTCCTGTACACAGGAAGACAGCATGGTGCCCAGCTTTCCAGACTCCTTGTTCACTTCCAGTCTTGTGTGGCATCTGATGTTTGTCACAGAGTCACAAAGGATGGCGTTGGCTGAAGGGTGGGACCCAGAGACCCTCCTGCTACCCCCTTCTCCTCTCCAGGACCAGAAAATTAGAGCTGGAATCTCAGAGCTCTACTACACACAACTCACCACAAAACTTGGACCTCAGTTTCCCTACTTGTAAAGTGGGAGTGACGCCCAATCTCCTTACTGATCTCTTATAGGACTATAGGAATTTATGAAGAAATTTATACTGTCAGACACCACACTGAGAAAAGTTATCACTATGGACAATGTCTGTGTGACCTTCAGCAAGTTACTTAACCTCTCTGACCCTCTCTTTCTGTCTGCCAAGATGGAGCAGGTAGGAGGCAGGCAAGTTGCCCAGTGGCCTCCAACATCCCCTCCAGCATCTATCTTCCTTCATGTTAACCCTGCTTCCCTGCAAGAAGAGTTGGAAATATGACATGCCAGGACCTGAAGTGTTGGTCTTACCTCCCTGATTTTGTTAATGAAGAAACTAAGGACCAGAGACAGAAAGGCTTGCTCAAGGTCACACAGGAAGGCACAGATACGAAAAAAATTTTATATATACCTATGTAGAGAGAAAGATAGAAGAGGGAGAAATTCACTCAAAACAATCACAAGAATAATTCTAGAATATTCACACAGCTGCTAAAGTTAAATACGAAACTGGTCAATGTTCTATAGGGCAATAAAAACATAAAGCTGGAGTTGCGTCTCTAGCAGAAAGAAATCATTTGCATCACTATTAGACAAAAATACTTTGCAACTTATCAGTTTTCTACCGGTTCACAGCTATCTTTACAGTCTGGGGCCTAATCAATAGTAAATAATGAGTCCAGCAAAGTGACATCCCCCCAGAGTGTCAGATGACCCTTAAAAGGGCTTGTTGGATACAGCACGAACTTGACTTTGAAAGGACACCGGTTATCTATTTGCCTTATTTCCAAGTGTTGGATGATTTTACTTATCAGGCTGTTGCAAGAGTATAAACACTCCCCAGGAAGGAGACACATCGATAGTAATGCACATATCATTAGTGTGAACAGTAAGTGGGTCAGCGATGCCCTGTGAATGTCACAGGGACACCTTCAGCTCCAGGGGGGATGGGCTTACCCCCCCATCTCTCCCCAGCACAGACTCCTCCATGGCAGCCAGGGGGGTGCAGGGATGAAAGGAGACCCTTAAAGTGATGCTCACCGAGTCACCATCCATAGGGTCCAGTTTGAGTGTGGATTCCGGGGTCTGAGGAACAAACAAAATGTTATTATTTTAAATTAGTCAACTTCTTTATGGTACTCACATCTGAATCAAGGGTTGGTTCCCAAAATCAGTATATTAGGCAAACGTTGCCTATAGTCAGTTATACCACTGTTGTGGAGGTGTAGTTCAGTGGTAGGGCGCTTGCCTAGCATGGCTGAGGCCCTGGGTTTCATCCCTAGTATGTAAAAAAAAGCCATTGGGGGAAAAAAATCTTAGGACAGGGCCATGTTGGAGACCATATTACCATTGTCCGGTAGTCCGATGCTGTCGCTTTAGGCTGTGACATTAGAACAGACATCTTCGGCTGAGAACCAGCTGGCTAATGTTAATCAGCCCTTCCCCAACACACCCACAGAGGAATTAAATCTGTGAAGACCGAGACTCGAGCAGTATGAGGTATTTGGACCAACAAGGGATCCCCAGGAGCCGAGGCCAACTTGGGGACTGCCGGTCTCTCCCTGATCCTTGCTAACTCCAGAATCAGGCTCCTGTGAGGGCCTAGGCTGAGGGCTTCCACCCTTACCTTATCTTAATTGCTACTTCTAGTTCTTTGAATCTTGTTAGGCGAAGTGCTGGTAGTCAAAGGTGTATACAATGTGATCCTGAGATTCTTAGAGTTCTTATTTTATTTTTTAAAAAGTGATGAGGCAGGGGGCATATATCTCAGTGGTAGAGCACTTTCTTAGCATGCTCGAGGCCCTGTGTTCCATCCCCAGTAGCACACAGAGAAAAAGAAAGGAAAATGGAGGTATAATTTGCACACAGTAAACCCTGCAGACCTCCAGGCCCAGTTGTGCAGACTCCTACGTGCACCTTGGGCCCCCCCATCTGATCAGTGTCCAGCAAGTGGCCAGAGCCCCCCTCCTCAGCAGTGCTCCCCTCCACACACCCAGTCCACTACTCTCCTTTTTCACCACTTCAGCTGCTTCTGCCTGTGCTGCACTGGAGCCACAGGTAAATGGAATCACACTCTGTGGTTCTTTGGCCCCCCTCGGCTTCCTCTGATGAGTACGCTTTTGACACTGCCTGCATGGTTGCCTGTGTTGCTTTGGTGTGTGCTGTGAGTGGCGTTCCTTGTGTGCAAAGATCACACTTGTTTGTCCAGCCCCCGGGGTGGGCAGCTGCTGAGAGCTCTCTTGTACGAGTCCTCTGCTTGCCCTCCCTGTGACCATGTGTGCAGTTCTCGGCTGCGGTGGTGATACCACGAAGGGGGCAGAGGGTCTGCTCCAGCCCCTTCCCTGGAAGGGAGCACTGCCTGTCTTCTTCTTTGCCCACCTGCCATTCAGAGGTCCAGTTCATGGTGACCATTGAGAAGTTTAGGAAAAAAAATGTAAAAAGAAGATGAGGCAAAAGCAATGTCTTTAGGGGAAGAGAAATGAGAAGAAATAAAGCCCTGCTCACCCTGTCCCTTGTTTGGGCTGGAGGGTGGCGTCCTGGTTGCCCAGCAGAAGTGGCACACTGGGAGGCACCAGGGGAGCTGCTCTAGGAGAAGTCCCCAGCATGAGAAGCTGGAAGCCACCAAGTGAGCCAGCAGGTAAGATGTGAAAAGATTAAGAGGATTAGGAGGGTTTGGAGAACAAAGAGCCAGTGCGGGAGCCAACACAAAGCAGGTGCTCCTCCACCTCTTGAGGGCTGGCCCTGGGTCGCCAGGGCTGACTGGGCCCCAAGGCCCGAGAATGGGGCACCCGGAGGGCTGGGATCATGTCAGCCCCCGAGTTACAGTAGAGTAGCAGGGATTCCCTTCAACTGCCCATCACGGCTCCTGGAATCCACTACAGCCCGTTCTCCCTATGGGGTAAGTAGTGGCCCCTGGCTCAAGCCTGAAGTAGAATCTGCACCCCAGTGCTTCTGCTCAATCTCAACAGCCCTCCCTGGTGAGCCTCCTCTGTGCTGGGCTTAGTAGGAGGCAGGACCTGGCCCTCTGATGAGCCCCTTTTATGGAGCTGAGGCTCAGGGAGGGTCAGTGACTTGCAGGAGGCCACAAGGCAGTAAGTGGTCCCATTCTTCCCACCATCAGGCTGCTTTTCTGACAGTGCAAGGTAGGCAACCCAGGAGGGGGTAGGGAGGACAGGAGAGCAAAAGACAGGGTCTAGGGTCATTTTTAAAGATGAGGAAACTGAGGTTCAGAGAGTGGAAGTGACTTGCTCACTAGTCCAGGGCACCAGATTTAATAAATAAAATTACAGTCTGCTAGTTCAACTGAAATTATAGAAAGCTAATGATATGCATGGGATATACTTATATTAACTCAGTGATTTGTCCTGCATTTTCTCTGGTAACCTATATAAGTCACACAGTTTGTAAGTGGTGATTTACCCCCTTCCCTGTGGCTCCTGGAAAGAGCTATGGTGTTGGTGGGGGGTCAGGGGTGAGGGGTGAAGGAGGGGCTGCTCCTTTTTGCCTCCCATGGGAATGTGAGCCTCTTGGTTCCTATCACCTAGGAACCAAGATCACAGCTCCTGTGAGCAGGCCAGTCTCCTCATTGTGTCCCCCCCATCATTTCCGTGGCAAGCTGACTTCTATGGTCTCTCCCTGCCCTGCATTTTCTATCAAGATTGGTCACTGTGTAGCTGGGTGTGGTGGTGCATGCTTGTAATCACAGCACTCAGGAGGCTGAGGCAAGAGGATCACCATGAGTTCAAGGCCAGCCTGGGCTACATAGTGAGATTCTCTCAAAGAAAAAAAAAAAAAAAAAAGTTGGTCACTGTGGGCTGGAGGAAGAAAATTTGGGTTCCCAAC